AAAGAGACTGAATGGGCCGCACTAATGGGAGAAGGAATGTAGTGATAGTCCGCTTCGTGTCACATACAAACAATCAAGTGAAGAAAAGTAAGTGAAGAAAAGCAAGTGCACCAAAGAATGAGGAATAAAAGAACAAAGGTGGGTCACTCGCGCCATTTCTATTACGCCAGCAGATGCACAAACAACCATCCCCTGGATAGCAACCTGCCATTGCTTAACACCTCTTAAGGCAATCCCTCTCCCCTCTCCCCTCCCTCCTCCAGCGTTCGCAGGCGGCCAGGCCGGCCTGCAGATATCCTGCAGATGCACAGTCCGGCCCGGCCAGGTCAAAGTGAAACTGACCTGGGCTTTGTAGGCCAGGCTTTGGTAAAGCCTATAGGCCACATGGATGCCTGGGGGCACCGGCAGGCTTTTGGCATATGCTACCTGACCACTAAATATTGCGTCTGTGCACCGCTGATACCTGAAGATGCCTGCAGATATCTAAAGATGTCCGCAGATATCTGAAGATGCCCGCAGATATCTGAAGATGCCCACAGATATCTGAAAGCCTGCAGATATCTACAGTCCGGCCAGGCCCGGTCAGATAGGCCAGTAAAGCCGGACTATGGCCTACAGTCCGGCCCGGCCGGTCACCAAAGAAGCCCAGGCCGGCCGCCCTGGGCCTCAAGTCTGGCCGGACTGGCCGCTTGCGAACACTGCCCTCCTCTCTCCTCTCCTCCCGATCTGCCCCTCAGAATAGAAAAACAAGCAGAAAATAACAGAAAAACCGAGTTCCACCTGCTTCCTGCCTATAATGTTATTATGCCTTCCAAGTAGAGTGTATTTTGTGGTAACATACCATCACGAACTGTCTTCATATATTTGGCACCTGCATAGAGACCAGTAAGCCATGGCAGTTGCATTGGTACAGTCTTCAAGCAAATAGTTCGCATTAAGGTTGGACCTCTTGAATGCTTGTATGAACTTGGCAAAGTTCTCAAAGAACTCCCTTGTGCCAATTTTGTCGTTACTGGCTCGCACGGTGGCATGCAAGTTCAAGACCTGAATTGTCTCTCGATGTGCTAGTAAAGTTAGTCTTAATAATAGCATAAAAACTCGTGAAATCCAGTATCTCCACTAGCTCCTTAATCTCCTGATTAAGTACCTAAACCTGCGAGACAGGATTACCCCTATGCCAGCCGGATATAACCTGAATGCGCAAGGCTGACTTGATCCCCAATTTGGTATGGGCTATTTGCAGTCCAGTGACTTGATTAAATGAAGGCCAGGGTGAGATGGCAGGCTATACCGCAGGGCTAGTGTGATAGTGGATTTCGCGAGTATGAAGGATAAAGATAGGTCCTAGGAGAGAGATGACTCACATATCTTCCCTACATCTAAGGGGTGCATGCCATAGAGCTCTTCGAAGGCATACACATCTTCTCTTCCTCCTATCTCATTATAGAGGAGCGCATCAACAGCAGCGTCACCCCCATGTACGGTCAAATTTCCCTCCATGATAATTTTAAAGTCGGATGGTTTTGCGCTATCCAGTTTGTCTCGGATAAAAGTGCTAACAAATCTATGTCGCACCCGCCTATAATCCTGTCCCGCAAGTTTTAACGTCAAGACACTATCCTGAAGTGAGGAAATCCTATCATCTTTCTTGGCAACACTTGCTTCGAGAGAAGAGATTTGTTTATCCTTTTGAACATCTCCTGCTTCCAGGATACGAATACGCTCTTGATGGCCAGCAAGCATGAGACCGCGGGCATTGCCGATGTACATATCTCCTCTCACACTTGTCACCTCAAGTGGGTCCGTTTCGAGTGCCTTAGTGAATGCAGCTCAGGGGTCTTTTGCCATCGTACCCTCGTGGCCAATGATCGACTGGGTGACTAGGATCGCGTCACACCTTGGATCCTCTGGAGGGGGTGGTGAACGCGGCTCAGGGTTACGATATGCGTGGAGGCGCTCAGTCAGCTCTGCCACTGTCCCCGTACTGTTGATACCGTCAGCCTTGCACTCAGCCTGGAGGAGCTTCTTAGAACGCATAATTGCTGATTTTAGTTTGTGATAAATCTAAAGGGTGAAAAAACTGTTAGAACAGCTATACAAGAGGAACTGGTTCTTCACAGCCAGAGGGATCGATCACACTAGTTGCTGGAGACAGTAGGATTGAAATCAAAACTCACCTGAAGCAGGATTCGTAGGGATTCTGGATGATTGCAGAGAAGATAAAGTTTCCGGGATGGAGTTCGCAATGGCCACTTGCGAGGTAGGTTATTTTCGGAGGATCGTGGTAGCCTATGGCAGGTGTGTGTGTGTGTGCCACCTGTGACAAGTTTTTGATTTGTGAGCCTTCAGCGGAGAGGATGCAGCTAGACAGTTTTGGGAGCATGAGGAACCACTAGTGATGGCCACGATCAGATCATGATCGAGTTTTGCTCGAGCTGGTCATGTTCGATCACCCGCGATCACAAGTGTCACTCGATCAGATTGTGCTCGAGTAGGGGTACTGCTCGACCATGGGCGATCATGGTCGATCATGATCGATGACTCTATCAATACCTATACATATATCTGTCCTAGAAATTACGCGATATCTATTAATATAGGGCCCATTCACCTATAGACAGCCATTTAGTTCACGTTGACTGTGGCAACCGTCAAGAGGGTCTTAACGGTCGGTAGCATTAGGGGCTAAATTCTCATTCTGTGTTTCCCTAATATACCATCTACCGTACTGCAACAAGGGCCTTACCGTCAGAGTGAATCAAAAGTTTTACAAAATACAATGTGAGGGCTTTTGAACTCACAATTCCCAACTCCCCCTCCCTCTCTCAACCACGCCGACCAATTAAAATATCGGACCCGGCCTATATTCCCCACATACCATCTGCAATGACTCTTCAAGAGTCCTTCCACCTATCCTTGTGTCTCTTTTTTAGTTGTTTTGACATCATAGCCCAAATCCCTCATGGTACCATGCAGAACAACGACCTTAATGATAGTCGGAAATGGTTTCAATTCAGAGATTTCTCTTGAGAACCAGGTCCAATCGGGGGGGGGGGGTAGGAACCTTTGAGATTTACCTACTTGGCATGGTGCAGATAGTACTCTATCCTAGCCCGAAGAATGGTATTTCAATTCCCAATTGAAAAGAGCGTCAAGTTTCACCCAGAGTTGGTATTTCTGTTTCTTATATTTTATGAAGACATCGCGAGAGTAAATCATGGCGGCTAGGGTTTTGTCCTTCAAGTACAACCGCCTCGGCCAGCATCGCCGCCAGCAAGACAAGAATATGTTCCACCTCCTGTGACTACGCTCTATCCGAACTCCGCTAGATCTTACACTCCACAACGCCCCCTCCTTCAGCGATAAAACCAAACTATCTCCAAACATCTCCCTGAATTGGTACTGTCGCAAGCGTGAAGTTCAATGTTCCCACTAACGCCTCACTCACAAGCCGGCCAAGAAAGGCCACCGCTCTAGCAGGTAGTAGCATGATCATGGACAATATCCGCGGGAGGAACGATGAAGCTCAGGTTGTCTCAGAAGCACGGCAAATTGCTTGCTTCGGGGATTGAAAACTGGGAGCATGAAGCCTAAGGATGCCAATCTATTCCTGCATAGGTCGAGCCAGTACTCTCTAACCCATCTCTGAGGCTAACTCCGGTACTGCAACAGGCCTCACGTTCACTGCTGCTAGCTTTGCAGATCAATCGCTAGCGGATATGTGGTGGGATATGGAGCCGGTGGTGGTACGTGGGAGGAATTCGCATGCGTTGCAGGTCGCACCTGCATCTCCCAGGCAAGATGAGAAACGCGCTATCCTACGTGTCTCTACTGCGAAGAATGTAGTGGGTTCTTCGGCCAGGATTCTAGGTTCTATGTCATCCAATCGAATATAACCAGAGTTCCCAACCGTCCGGGGGCCCGGCAGGGCCACACGTGGACTGCCAAGAGTCCTGTCCTGGACGGGGCGGGACGACCATGTGCAGTCCGTCCCGGGCGGTGAACGTCGAGGACGGCCGTCTTTGGGTAGGACGGCGGGCCCAATGGGGTGAAACAAGCTTGGCAAAGTGGACGGCAAGGTATCGCCAGGGACTACGGGGGACAGCGGGGGACAGCGGGGGACAGCGGGGGACAGCGGGGGACAGCGGGGGACAGCGGGGGACAGCGGGGGACAGCGGGGGACAGCGGGGGACAGCGGGGGAATTCCGAGGGCAATCATTTTGTCCCTGGAATGTTATGCGGCAGGACCGTAGCCCCCTGTCATCCGCCCCCGCCCTACCCCAAAGACAGACGGACTGGACGGTTGGGAACACTGAATATAACTCGGTTCTCTATCATTAGGGTTTGCTCCTCGAGTAAGCTGGAGTGTTTTTTCATTTGATATTTTCTCAGAGGTGCCAAGCAGGCCCCCTTTATTGCAATTTCCCTCCTTCCCGAGGCCGGAAATTCCCCACTACTAGGTACATAGTTCAATTTTCCAAGATTCTATGGTATTGGCTCGCAAGTGAAAATTGATCAGCAGAATAACACTGTGGGAATACTTGAAGATCTGGTATAAAAAAATGTATTTAAAATAAGCAAGAAAGAATAATTATACTACAAAAGCCCATTAAGTTTTACAAGCCTTCCAAAGAACCAAACCAATGACTCACCAAATGCAACTCCCGCGCTATCTCAAGGCCGGCTGATACAATCCAATTCCCCCCCCGATTGTTCACCCTACCCACTCTGATCACGTAATGAAAACCCCTGAAGAGGAGTATGGCATGCAGCCAGTCTTCAATCGCGATTTATATTCATCATAGGGCTCAGCGCGTACCGAATCCCCTGCAGAAAAAGCCCGGTCCGAGCAACTCCTTCCTCGGTTTTCCCGGATTCACGATCACTCTCAACGCTAATTTACATACGAGCGGCCGGGCATCACATTCAGTCGCCGAGCAGATGGAGAGAGAGCCATACGGAACCATATTTGAATTCTAGGGATACAAGTCGTATGTAGAACGATAAATCGCCAGTAGCACAGTTCTTTGTAAGTCAGAATATCATAGTAACACCCAGCCCTTTGATTCCTCCAATGCCATGTTGTATGTTGATTGTGTTGTTGTCCATGTATAGGCAGCAGCCCCGAGAGTATTGTGAAGAGAGCGGATGGTATTGAGGGTTTGTAGACACAACGGTCAAAGGAGATTGTGTTCTCGCCCTATATTTGTCCCTATATTGAGATAACTCACTCATACCAGTGAGAAACAAGAAAGTGGAATCCTCATTACTCCATCTCGGTTGAACACCCCACACTGAGGAAACTGTTTTCAATTCACTTGTCGAGTTACAGCTGTGTTGAAACTCCACTATAGGTAATAATGCATATTCAGAGATCTCAGCAAAACAGCCACGGTGTTCGGGCAGAAAAAAAGTGAAATAGAATCTGCAGAAGCGACAGGATGAACCAAAGCAGCAACAGCCAGCCCAGCACGCCACCCTCACAAACAGCCAAGACAAGACAAGAAAGCCAGAGATAGAAAGGAGATAGAACGAATCAACATAGTTGATTTACCCTCTCTATTTCATTTACACATGCTGCTGGGTGAACAGCAACCACTTCCATAACAACGCATTGTTGATTAAGTTTGTTAAGCCAACCCCCAGGCACTCCCGGGTAGAGCAACACCCCTAGATATGCGAAACCCACCGCTCTACAGCCCCGCTCCGCTTAGCACCCCCGAACCCAGAACGTCAGAACAAAAACAGAAAATCAGAAAAAAACAAGTTTGACCTGCTGCATGGCTACAGTATTAGCATTTTCTCCAAAGCAAAACGCATGTAATAATAACTGACCTTCATGCAGATTCTTGATATATCTGGCACTTCCGCAATGACAAGTATGCGATATGCACGCGGTCGGTAGGATCGGCAAGTAAATAGTTCGAGTTAAAACTCGACCATTTCAATTCCCGTATGAACTCGGCAAACTTCTTGTAGAACTGGTCGGTCCCCGTTTTTTCTTTACTAGCTCGTACCGTCGCATGCAAGTTCAGAATTTCAATTGTTTCCGGATCCCCTAGAGAAGTCAGTCTTAATACTTGAGTACCATAAAAACTCGCCAAATTCATAATCTCCATCAATCCTCTAATCTGTGACTTCTGACTCATAATATTCACAGAATTATTGAGATAGGAGATAGTATAAGTTACTCACAAATTCTCTTTATATCAGACGGGTGTATTCCATATAGATCTTCAAATGCGTAGGTATCTTCTCTTGCTCCAATCCCTTCGTAGAGGAGAGCATCAACAACAGCATCACCCCCATGCGCCAAGCCATGGACCTCGTTAATGAGATCATGATCAGACTGCTTCGCACATCCTAGCTTGTCCCGGATAAAGGTGCTGACAAATCTCTGCCGCACCTGCCTATAAGCCTCTCCTGCAAGTTTCAATGTCGAGACAGTGTCTTGAAGCAATGAGATCTCCTGATCTAGCATCAAATCTCGCTCCTTGAGCATGGAGAGCCGTTGGTCCTTAAGAACACTTCTCGCCTCCAGTATACGAATACGCTCGGCCAGTCCAGCGAGACCCTGGCTCCGGGAATGGCCACCCAAGATATCTCCTCCGACCATCGGCAAATCCTGGGTGTTCTTATCGCGTGGGATCTTGGATCCAGCTTGGACTTCTCGCTCCATGATCTCCGCATCGCCGACCGTGGATTGGGTAACCAGCATTTCCTCCTTCCTTAAATTCGCATGAGATGGTGAAGAACTGAGCTCCTGGTTCCTATAGTCCTGGAGGCGCTGGATCAGATCTGCAACTTTCCCCTCACAATTGATACCAGCAGCCTTGCATTCATCCTGCAGCTCTTTTTCAGAAGGCATGATTGCTGGTGGGTGTTTGTTTCGTTGCTAACGCCGCAGGTTGTGAAACTGTTTTGACTTAGGTGTAAGGGAAGGCCGCTCGTTACTGTCCACGGGGACAACTCAGGGGAGTTTTTGTAGACCGCGGGACCAAGTTTTATATTCGTCAGAGCAGAGATTCGTCGGGGTCGGAGTTGGTGGTGGCCACTTAGGTGATGGGTGATTTTCCTGAAACCGAAATAGCCGGAGATGAGTTCTTGATTGAGTACAGCTTGTGACTGTTTTCTCTTTTTGTGGGCTTGAGTTGAGAGGATACGGTAGAGAGTGTGCGCCCGCAGACCTAGGTGGCAGTTACTACATAAAGGACCTAGATGCTGGAGAGAGTTTGCGCACAGGATCCAGCTGACTTGGCAGCCAGGTTACAACAGCCGAGTGCAATGTGAGGTGTTGATAAAATTTAGCAAGAGCAGCGAATGTAGAATCAATATTAATACATGACTATCATATTTTTCTATCCTTTATTCCTCTCGGAGCCGCTTTACACTTATCTCTCCTTGGAATCCATGAAAATATGCTATTGTAGCATATCTTTGGCCTTGGTACCTAGAAACCCGTTCCAGGTCGTTAAAGTTGACTTTTGGGCCTTGACAAGGTGCATGTGGGCACCCAGGTCTCCAAGACTTTTAGCATAACATATGTTAATGAAATTTACCGCCACCTAGGTCTGAGGGCGCAAACTCTCTAGTGAGACCATTTCCGGAGCATAATGAATCTTACGCAGCCAGGTCTTCAACCAAGAGGCAACCCCAAACCCTAGCCTCGCCCAAACTCTGCGTTCTATTGCCTGGTGACGACACCTTACCCGAGTTCCTATCCCACACGGCAGTTATTCAGTGATTCCAGCAACCTGTATTCCATCAGGGCACCCAGGGTGAGCAAACCATCCAGGCCAAGTATTCGGCAGAAACACTTCCACAGCTCTCAGATCCTCATGATATGCGCACCCGTGATCTGGCCATTCGTGGTCTGCTTTCGTCATTTTTACACTCGCGTCAACCTGTGAAACAATTCACACTTGCACTTAGGCCGTAGGCGAACATGTTTCCTAGATACATTTCTTTACTTTCCTTGGGAGCATAGTTTCCCCCTTACTAGCATCTAACGATTCCGCACAACATGCTCTTCACGGAAAGCACCTCCATTGGCCACATTTACATCCTAGCACCCTGCAGCAATAATTTTGCCCTGAAGTCTATTGAAAAGTCACCGGTACTCATGTGTCGGTTGTCCTAATAGACGGTTGGCAGATGAGTTTCACACTGGCAAAGACTCTTTCTGCCAGTATCTCCGGTTCCATTTCATGTCAAGTTTCAGAATCCAGGAGGAAAGACTTTACCGGATGCTATGACACTTACCAGTAGTGTTCGGGGAGCAGGTTATATTTGTATAAGGACTCCTGTCTGAAAGACCCAAGCTGGACCCCGGGAGAGGAGAGAATCACAAGGAGTACCAGGTACTCATGTGTTTGGATACGGATCAGTTGTGGAGCCTGTATATAGATGTTTGATTGTGGTTAGAGATCTGCCCGATCATGATCGTGTCCATCACTTGTTCGGGAGCACCCCTCTCTCTCCCGTCCGTTCCCTTGCATTGAAGAGTCAATCACTGTAAAACTTCAACTCCAGCCCGGCGACGTCAAGCTCCACTCAGACATTACGATCATTGGTCGCTGTATATCTATCAAATCAACATGCTGGGTCCTTGGATGACTCTTTTCATACCCCATCAAACGCTCGTATGTATGGAATGGGTAGACGTTTTCACTGTATCGGGTTCGCAGTTTATTCGGATTGGGACTGGGGTTGGGATCCGGTAACATCGTTTTGTGATGTCATGAACATAGGAACCCAGTATTGAAATCACCGACACTCCAACTGACTACGACATCCCTCCCACTCCGATTTCCGATGCCAAATACCGGAGGAGACCGGCACATGATTTTTAAAAAAGATTTTTCTGCCCTATATCGTGGCGAGTGGGTCAGAATGTTCTGGAACTTCCTGTAGATAGACATATCATGGGTTAGGTGTCTACAGAGCTTGTAGCACGTGGTGGAAGGAGTAGATATTATTGGTTCACGGTGAGGGGTATAGAGAAGGTGAGGGAATCCCCGAGGAAAGAGAAAGAGGGCTAGGAGGCGGAGCCGTCATGATGGTGGAGATACAGTTGGAAAAGGTTGTTCTTTGGCCATGTATATAAAGGCATAGAACTGCCCATGAAGATGAGGTGGAGGACAAGCAGACAACACAGAGGGAATCAGAGAAGCGCTATCGCCCCAAAGTTCCCTTACGGTACCGATTCCAGCCGCGCTCCGATTCAAGTTTATGAAACCCAGCCCTGGCTGAACCAACGATTAATCCGCTGGCCTTGTGACTGTAGGCCCGATGGAGGCGGTCAAGGGTGTACGATTGGTCATCGGTCACCCTTTGAATGGTACTGTTCATAGTTGTTCGTGTCTGCCTCCACGAGCTCTGTAACGATACTAAATAGGGAAAAAAACAGTCGGCCAGGACCAGTTATTCCGGCTCCCCCAGCAACACCAAAACTGTGACAAAACCTAACTAGTGACTCAATATTTCTGCCCTAACGCACCCACGTGTGCTCCCCCATACATCTCACCATCACCACAATACCTATGTATGATACCGCCCAATATCCCGCCACCCGGATCATGTCATCGGTTGGAGGAGCATCCGGGGCCCTAGGTTGGAGGGCCCGGAGACCGGCCATGTTGAAATTCATGACACTTGCTTTACTTTCGGGTATGTTAGTATGTGGGTAGAAGGACGGTACAGTACAAGACGGAAGTTGGAAACGCAGCAGCTGCGTTTAATCTGTTTGAGAAATTAGGAATTGTTTGGAACGCAGGTCTGGAATCACGTTTGTGATAGGGTATTTGGAACTAGCGTTGAACACTAGTAGTTGGAAAGATTTTTCTTTTTTTCTTTTAGCTTCTAACGTCTGATACCGGTGAGTTCCACTAGAATAATTACGTTACAGGATCGAACAAATACTACTCGTATTGGCGCCGGAGGAAGTTGAGCAGTGCTGATAGTACTCAGGAACATGTTGTTAGATATTGGAAGTACGGAGGCGGTAGCAGGACTGGTGAGGAAAAGGACACGGGGGAAACTTGGAGATTTTTCCTATGCACGATGGAAAGTTGTGTATGCATAGGACACCTCCGATAAGCTAAAACAAAAATCAAGGGCCACAAGAAACTCTCACAGAAAAACATAGCCCAAAAAGCAAGGGGCCGACCAACCGGGAGCAGCGATTCGCTTTTTTTGGGGGGGGGGGTTGCGCAAGGATCTCGTAGGTATATGCACATCCACTGAATCCAGAATAAAGAAACTAGCTTTGCCCTTGGCCTGCAGCTCAGCGTCATTCCTGTATACTTTTCCCCACTTGTCCGATGGCGCTTTATCCCTCGTGGCGTCTCACACCCCGGGCTGGTGGCAATCTCCCTCTCCCCCTTTTTCCCTTTCTTTCCGATGAGGGCTTCAAGCCTTCGGGTGCACACACACGTATGGTATGTACCCAAAACCATTCCAAGGATCCAACGACAAGAAAATTGAAAAAGAAATCCAGCAGGGCGTATCTGCAGTGGCATTCCTCTCGAATACCTGCCTGACGGGCCCGCCAGAGCCCTCCGGCACCACTCGAGCCCCCGACCACCACACAGTCGCCCGAAGACGCCCCAGGCTATGGTAATATGACAGCGGAAATTTGGCAATCATCAACTATCACGCGGTCTCTTTACGTTCGAGGCCCCCGGCCACTCCAAGGGCCAAAACACACCTAAAAAAAGAAGACCGCGGGGTGTTGAACCACCACACTCCAACGAACACCCCGAAACCCGGCTCTCCGCGAAAGAGAGGGAATCAAACGTTAGGAAATTAACATACCCGAGGCACCGCCCTACCACGCCCCCACCGTGAGTTTCTGAGGAAGAGCTGGTACCCGAACTGGGCAACTTTTTCTTGCAATTTATGATAATTATGATACAATAGGTTAAAACTCGAACAATTTCCCCCCCTCTCTGCATCGGGTGCTGAAGTCGCCTTTGCCGGTAAGCCCTGACACTCTAGCACTCCCCTTCTCCTCTTCCTTTTGTAATTCCTTTTCCTCGTGGCAGGGTGAGGCTAAGGGTGCGAGACTTTCCGCAGCGTTCACCCAGAGTGAAGAGACATTCAAAAATCACCTCGCAAATCCCAAAGTATCCAAGTAGGTAATAATAATAAAAAAAGACAATAAGAAAACCCATACTCCCTCACCTAGGTGGTATCATAGCGGATTACTCTCGATCCGTTACAATCAATATTCCTACCCCGCTTCAGCATATCCCGGTCGAGTAATGATTTCCCCCGAAACAGCGATTTTGGTTTGACCTTTTGGCTTCTCCCGGGTTTCAGCGCGAAACAGCAAACGTCCAGGTTCTCGGAAATTCCCGCGAGGATGGGCATGGTATCCGATCGCTGGGTAGATGGGCTGGTGATTGTTTCATCTGTTTCCGTGCAGGATATAGGTCCTCGGGGATGAAGTAGGGGGGGGGAAGGGGGGACAGATTTGAGTCCTGTTGGACTCAATCATTGGGAGATACCATGATAAGGGATAGGAAAGGTGGTTAAAGTATGGCTCTGGTGGTTCTCGGCCTCCAGACCTGCTTATCCATACAGGAAGTTGGGTATCCATCGCCGGACTTAAGATCTGTGAATGGGTGGACGCTACTTGTAAGTCACGCATATCGAGAGACTGCCATGCCTTACACTTATCCCCACTCATAACAAACAGTTCCTAGCAAATTCAAGGACGCATGACCCTCCATATTATGGCAGGCCGATAAATAACACGACTTATGGGTGTTATCCGCACCGCCGTACCCCCGTTTCAGAGGCCGCATCAGCTATATACCCGCCCCAACACCCACTATATATAACACCTTCCCAAAGTGGGCCCAATCACCTGGATCGCCGCCGGGAGGAATTTTCTCAGGCCCTCCGCTCTGCCGACTTCCGGGATTTCAGGAGCAAGGAGGGGGAGGGGGGGGCTGCCAATTCAGAAACCGCATATTCCCCCTCTCCTGCCATAAATCGGGAAAGCACAAGCGGGACGGGCGAGGTGTGATAGGATCGGTTGGGGGAATGAGATGCTTTCCAGGGCGACACCACATGAAGATCTGCACGACCTCGACCCCACCTTGGCCGCCCCAGGGGAAAAAAAACTGGCGCTCGTGAAGTGACGTATGGATCTACGAATTGCGTGAGTGGTCTACTATGGGGATGTGTGGGCTGATGGGGTGTATTACGGAATTGTCACTTCCCGGAGGGATCAATAGCCGCGGTAACGGCTCGTGCAAGAGTGAAAATCTAGAGAGTTTAGAGTGGAAGGAGGATATCGTGAACTACTGCATTTTATTACCCGGTTCTGCCAATACCCTTTCTGGATCGCGATCCAAAATTCTCTATATATCGCCTCTGGGTGATTCCCCCATTTTCCGCTCACTTGCTCATTCACTGCTACCCCCTCTATAGGACACTCTAATACTCGCACAACCCCGCCACAAGCACACACAAAAAAAAGAAGAAAAAAAGAGACAAGATGCCAAAAACCTGGCTAATAACCGGTGCATCCTCCGGCATCGGGCGAGAAATCTGCCTGGCGGCGCTCTCACGCGGCGACAGTGTAATCGCCACCAGTCGGGCTCCGAAAACCCGTCTGGCAGACCTCACCGCTCGCGGCGCCACAAGCCTAAAGCTAGACCTGACGTCCCCAAGCTCGGAAATCGCATCGGTAGTAACGCAAGCGCTATCCCAGCATGAGAATATAGACGTACTGGTGAACGTAGCCGGATACCTACTCGAAGGCGCAGTGGAGGAGACGAGCGAGGAAGAGACGGAGAATCTGTACAAGACCAACATATTCGGTCCCATGAACCTTGCGCGGGCGCTGCTTCCGCACTTCCGTGCCCGGGGGTCGGGTGTTATCGCCAACGTCGCGGGCATCGGTGCCCTCCGGGGCGCGGCGGCCGCGGGATACTTTTGCGCCAGCAAGGCGGCGCTCAGAGTGGTTACGGAGGCGTTAAGGGCTGAAGTTGCGGCGTTCGGGATCGAGGTTTGCTGCGTCATGTTGGGACATTTCAGGACGGCGTTTTTGGATCCTGGGCATCGCGCTGTGGCTCGGAATCGGATCGGCGAGTATGAGGGGGTGCTGGGCGAGATCAGGAAGGGGTTTGCCGCCTTTCACGGGTGTCAACCCGGGGATCCCGTGAAGGCTGGTGGCGTTATCGTGCGTGTTCTGGCTGGGGATGGGGGGCTACGGGTACCGGCGGTGTTGCCAGTTGGGGGGGACGTGTTTGCGAAGATGGAGGAGGGGTGCAGGAAGGTGATGGGGGAGGTGGAAGGATTGAGGGAAGTGGCGGGGAATACGGATCTGGAGGGGGTGCAGGGGCATTGATTATGGAGTAGCTTTTTTGTTTCCTAGTTTATCGAGAATTCAATAAGTTTTCTCTTCCTTTCTTTTTTTTTCCCCAATTCGCACTTGACATCCGAAATGTGGTAACAACCCCGCCGATCCCCTCGCTAATCTCAATCGCGGCGGCACCATCGGAGATAAGCGCCCCAACCCGTAAGAGTCCAATAAGGTGATACTCACCGGCGTTAAGACAACTGCCGTTCCCCACCGTTACTCCAACATGGCAGCAACCAGACATCTCGAATAGGGTACATTGTGCCGAGCCAGCCGTGACAGGCGAGATGAGATATCATACAAAGTATGATACAAGTGTCATGACGCCGAACAGGAGACCAGTGGTGCAGATAACTAGGGGGATTGATTGTAACTGCGCGTAAGGAGAAAAGGGAGGGCAAAGTTCGTCCCAGCCTCATGAGATTTCATCATTCGCTCCTCCACCACCTCTTCTCCTCACCCGCCGACGCTTTCGTTCTTTCTCTTTTTTTTTCTTTTCGGTTTACTACGGGCGATCCCTATCTTATCCGTGTTCTCCGGATTCCTTTTTCTGGCGCTTTCTGCTCACATACCTTGCAACAACGGGGGTGTTGGTTTTTCTTTCTTTCTTTCCCGATTTTTATAGACACACCCGGCTACAAGTCCCCTACCGCACAGTCCATGATCGACACATGCCGGTACAGTACACATACACCCAACTGCCGAGAACGTTTTTCTCTCCAGGAATCCACTGCCGCCCATGCCGTACCCGTACACTATCCTACCGTTCTCCCAAGCCGAAGTTTACTCGGGTCCAGGAATGTGGGTTAGGTCTCCAATGTCCCCACCCACACCCACGCTTCGCTCCATGATATGAGAGAAGGAAGAATGGCGATATGGTGCTGTACTGTACCCGTACTCGCCCCCCACCGGCGGATATGACAACGTCGGCAGGGCACCGTACAGCTCCGGCAATCTCGCTGTGCGCAAAATCCCCCTGAGGATAAATTTGCTGATTCGGGATTGCGCAGCCGGTGTCTTTCTCTTCATTTTTATCTTTATGTTTATTTTTGATCTAGTATCCGGTAGTTGGGTAGATTCTCTCGAGAGTGCTTGGAGAATGTGGGACTTCGAGGTGCCCCGTACCCTGCTAGTTAGCACTGTGCGGTACTGTGCTGTCATGGAATGCGTTGCGGCATTTTCTCTTATTTCTTCCGGTGGCATACAGCAATCAATTCGAGGGCGCCCTCAGGGGGAAGAAGGAGGAGGAGGGAGGGAGAAGCGGGAAGAACAGTCAAACGCTTCAATCTCTGATACTTGTGGTGACTTCGCCTACCCTCGCCGTGGATCTCTTTCTTCCTTTCTTTTTTCTCCCCTTTCCACATTTCGGCAGTTGGTGGCGAAATTGCTGTATCGTGCGGTCCCTGATGGCCGGTATCAGGAGGGGGTGCTTGTTGATGCTGTTTTTTAACGTCACTTTTCATTTTTTTTTTTCATTTGTTCTGGGTGAGGGTGAACGGTCACGGTATGTTGGGGAGATTTTTTTCGAATAGCTAGCTGCGCAGGAAGGCATACGCTGAAATGTCATGATGCTGGATATTCTGGCTCTGGCTGTGCTGGTGTTTGGGGTGATTTAATGAATTCTCCTCACATGGTTAGTCTACTAGCTTACCCCTAAATCTACTATGGGACGAGCCGCTGCATGCCCTACAGTCTATGGACTGGAGACATTGCTTTTCGGAGGAAAGTGGCTTAATATCTATTAATAATATAAACATCTGGAACCGCGCAAAACCCCTGTGTTGAACCTCCCCGGATGGTGAAAACTATTCTTTCTCCTCTTCCCCATTTATTTTGAGACGAAAAAAAAGAAGGAAAAACCGAAAAAAAACGAGAACGTGAGACCCCGCGCTGGGCTGGGGCAGCGTGAGGGGAGACGGATATTCAAGCGTTGAAGCTTATAATACGGGGGCGAAATAATACAGACACAGTGCCGGCAGTAGAAGGACAGCTTCTACTGATCCCGCGTTCGGTGACTCTAAAAGTAAAATACGGGTGCTTGATCGGCTGGGTCCCTTTGAAGCGGAACGGGGTTCAGTGACTGCGAGGAGGATTCATGTGTGTTAGCTTTGCACTTCCCATAGGAGAACACGGGAGAGAGGAAGACTCACGTCGTCTTCTGAACGGCTTCATGATTAGGAATCTTCCCATCCTTAAAGTAAAAATCCGTGACTCGCGTGCCCTCAGACCACCACGCCGTCTGCCAGCCATCGGTGCCCACGGAGAAGAAGGTATCGCCCGGCCCAAGTCTGAGAACCTCTCCGGACGGCACAGTGATCAATCCTGAGTGACATTAGCATAACCCACGCCGGGAACAGCACGCGGGGGTCCACGAACCAACACCAGCACTCATGAGGACTAAACTGGGCTCGGGTGCCGGATGAGGCGGCATGAAGAACCCCTCGTGAAAGTCGTATTGATAGGCTGCGTCAAAGGCTCCCCACCCCACGAGACTCGCGCCCTCGATCCCCTCCACCGCTGGCACTACGTTGTCGATTTCCCAGCATTCAAGGATGTTGGTGGCCTTCCCTTTGGCGTCTAGCTCCTGTGTGATTGCCGGGAGCGTCATCTTGCGGGGGTCTTTGCTCTTTGGGCAGCGGAGTTCGTAGTCTTGGGCTGTGTAGTCCGGCTCGCCCGGGCGGCGGTGGGGTGAGCCCTGGTACACGAGGGAGGGGGGGTGATGCACGAGGGCGGCTGTGGCGCTGCATGTCAAAAGTGCGACGAGGGGAAGGGCGATCTTCATCTTGGGGTTAGGGTTATATGGTCTTAAATTGAGTACTGCGTTTTTCTGGTCAAAGTGTAGAGACGGGGAGGAGTTAGGAGTGAGTCGGGGTAGAGAGGTATCGAAGTGGTACTGGTAGCAGTGGTGGTGAAGGGGACGCGGAAGCTGGTGGTGATACCCTCAAAAGTGCTACCCTCGGGGTCTTTATATCTCTTCATCCGCCATCGCCCTAATACCCCCCCATTACCCATTGGAAATATGCGAACTGCCTTCATGCAATTCGCCAAGTATGCCAAGGGATACGGAGGGGAAGAAAAGGAAACTCCAGCATTACCGTCTGTCGTTATGAATCTCAGCTTTCCCCATCACTAGATACATGAGAGACCTGCGAGCGGGACGGTTCACGACGTCATGGCGCCTGCCAACTCGCCGATCCGCGCGCCTGCTCGGAGAGAGCTGGGAGAGCAGGAGTGGCAGACATCCAGTCTGAACCGGGCAGGTTGAGGAGGGTAATTGGTAAGGTGGTCGACCCGAAGCGGGCAAGCAGGCAAGCAGGCAAGCCAACCGAGCTGCCCTCCCATGCTGGCTTGCATAGCTCCCCACACAACACCTCCAGTGCGACCCAGCGCCCCACAAACGGACTTCTGCTTTCGAACGGCCCCACGCACAAAGCCCGGGAGGGGTAGAGGAACTTCGAGATGGTGGTTGGAAGTTGCGCTGCCGAGTTTTCCGTTGCCATATGGGACGGCTACCGAATAGGCAAGCCCTTTGTGTGCCCGTGTGGGCCTCCCGACTTCGTGGCGATGTTCCGCCACATTGACCTGTTTTTTGTGGTGGAGTTAGAGCTTTTGTTTAACTTTCACATAGATTCGTTCTGCGGTGGAGATAATGGATTTACAGTCACTAGACAATAGTCTCGATCGAAGGAAATCTTGGTTTGCCGGAGATTACGGCCAGGCTATCGGGGCGGGGGGTTGGGGGGTAGAAAACGATGTGGCAAGAGGGCCCGTTCAAGTGGAGGGGGGGCCCTTGTTTTACCAAGACTTTTTTCTGGTGAATGACATCGCCCGCAGAGATTTCGACGCCCGGATGATAGAACTGATGAGATGGACTGCCCCATGAACCTTGTTAGTCGAACCACGTCAAATGTCGTGATTGCCGATAGGGAGCATAGTACCATACCGATATAGCCGCGCTCATAAGGTTCTCACCCCCCCTCCCGTACCCCAAGAGCTGTACCTATTCACATCAAGCGAACAGCAAGAGCATTTTAGAAGACTATTTTCGGATAGAGCTCTAGGGATATTATAAATAGTTAACATAGTTGGACTCTATCCAATAATTGGTTTTATTGAATAGCAACGGAGAGGGGAGGCAGCGAAGTGTTTCCAAGGGCTGGGGGTATTTGGAAGGGTGTGAGAGCTCTACGAGGGCTGTCTTAGAGATGCATCGCGATGCAGCGTGGCCGCCGTTAAAGGGATTTTGGTGTGCGGTTATCGCAGGTGCTTTGCTGCCTTACTGCCCTGGGGTAATAGCGGACTACCGGCATCGTTTCTACTACCGAAGCAACCCTCCATTCGACTATCCTATGAGCCAACAAAGTATCTCTGGAAGGGAAATTTTAAATTCCCCACCAAAAGTCCATTTCGGGCATCACGTGACGTACGGGGACTTCCAAGCAACTACCGGTATTCGCGCACCCTTGCTTAATAACCTTATCTTCCCGAGACGGCGCCACCAGATATCATACCGGTAATTGAATGGTAAATGCGGGAGGCCCTAAGGATCATCACCTATCATCAATCTCCCACTAGCCACAAGGGATAAAAGAGCCGTTTTCGGTAGGGCAGAGTGTTGCGGTGTGAGCGAGGATTGCACCCTCGTAACAGTGTCAGGGGATCGGGTGTAAGTCAGGAGTATCAGCCAGTATCTGATCGGGGGGAGCATAACGGAGAACCCTCGTCAGTTCCTCGACCGTGACCGCGCCCGTCATCCTGTCCGGACCCGAGACCCGGGTCAACCGGTGGCCTAGACCCCCGGGGACCGAAAAGTCAGGTCAGCACCACACGATTCTGCCCTCGAGTAAAAGCTCCCAGGATCAGTGGGCAGATTCGGATCGGCGGGATCGCATGTCTCATGTATGGAAAGCCTGGCTCGATGTAGGTCTTGATGAGCGAGCTGGGGAGCGTTGTTTGCCGGCGACGCGAGGCACTGGCAAACCGGGTAGAAGGTGGAGCTTTCCTAAATTTTGTCAGCGGAGAAAGAAAAACTGGTTGGCTGTTCCGTGCAGCCAAAATGGATTCGCGGAGCCAGAAGGGCCCCAGTGTCGCGATATCGTCCTCACGAAGCCTTTGTACGATACCGTTCATCGCACTGAGAACACGAGGGCGCGAGTTCAGTATGAAACTCGCACTACGAGTGGAAGAGGCACTCGCGCTGTTAATTTGAACGCGCACATTGCAGTCTTGGCGTACCAATGGACCAGAGCCCCGGTATTTCGGTTAGAGCAGAGGACACGCGTGCCAAGCATTTCCAACCGATTGGCAGATCCAAGCCGTTCCCGGGACCGCTTTACTCGGACTTTCGAAACCCTCCCGTCGCGACAACCTGGCTGGCTTTTCGGGATGCGAGGTACGGCAGCATTGGAACATTCCGCACCGCACCCAGGCACGGCACCTCATGCACCCATCAGTATACTGCCGTCGTCTCGACAATTTCCAAGGGATACTTGCCGTACAGCCCGCTCTCTGGCCGTATGCAGGGGGAGAGACTAATCATGAGGTATTGCATCCCGGGAGAGAGCTTCGTGTGAGTGGGATAACCGCTTTTCCGGTAAGATGCGGTGCCAGCCACCTGGGCTTCAACTGAAGTCGGGGACGCTATTTGAGATGATCTTTCCCCAACGCACTGCCGATCGTGACAATCTTCAGCAATCGCGCACTCAGGTTTCTTAGGCCCGAATCACACGAGTCTGGCTATCTCTGGACGCCCGCCGAGTCCAACAGACCATGGAGAGAGGCGGTGGTAGAAACACAAACCACATCTTCAACAGGGTCTACTCTCCAGCCAGCTTACCTCCCCTCGCCCTTCACGACTCCTCACAATCATCAGTGGGGGCGAGAAGGACGACATGGCGTGAAAAAAAAACAAAGGAACTTTTCCATTTCCCCCTTCTCACGACCCGGATGCCATTCGAGCGCCCGGAATCGTTATATAAAGCAGCGTATTTCTCCCGACTTCCACATTTTCATCATCGGTCTCGTCCTCCGTACCCTTGACGCTTCCGTTATTAAGCTGCCGGGTTTCCAAACATGACTCTTCAAAACAGTATCAAGGCGCTCGCTGCATTGGGTGCCCTTTACGGGGCTACCGTTGCTGCAGTCCCGACCGCGAACTGCGTGGGTTTCCTTTTCTAGTCGAGTTTCTTGTCGTGTTTAGTGCTAATAATAGTGCTGGTGGTGCAGTGCTCTCTCTTGGAAGCTGCTCTTCCCGGCCGGATCCTGAGCATTGGATCTGCCAATTACGCTACCGTGAATCATGACTTTTGGTGTATGTTTGCCGTATTCCCGGCTTTTTGATATTGGCTCTCTGACTCGACAAATATAGCATCTACTACCGTCCTTTCTCCTGGTTGCATCTTCTCCCCAACCAGTTCGCAGGAAGTTGCCCGGGCCGTGAAGCTCTTCACCGACAACCAATGCAAGTTCGCCGTCCGAGGGGGAGGCCACTCCGCTGTCCCCGGTGCCGCAAACACCAACGATGGTGTCCTCATTGTCACTGAGGGCCTCAACGAGCGCACGGTTACCAACGAAAACTCCGTCTGGATCGGTGCCGGAAACACCTGGGGTCCCGTCTATGACTTCCTCGGCCCTTCCCACAAAGCAGTCGTCGCTGGCCGTTACTACCCCGTCGGCACTGGCTTGCTCTTGGGTGCCGGTCTCTCATTCTTCGGAAACGAGCTTGGGCTCGCCATCGATAACGTCAGGACTTACGAAGTCGTCTTGTACAATGGCACCATTGTCCATGCCAGCGCTACCTCTCACCCCAATCTCCACCGAGCGCTTAAGGGTGGTGGCGACAACTATGGTGTCATCACCAGATACGAGCTCATGACCAACAACATTCCCGACTGGATTTGGGGAGGTATGGTGTACTATAACCAGTCCCAGCTCTCTCAGGTCGAGGACGTCGTCTACGACTACCATGTGGACAAAGCTGTCAACGATGTGAAGACCCACGTTCTCCCGCAGTACGGCTTCAACGGTACCACCAACGAGACCATCAACTTCTCCCCCATCTTCTACAACGGCGCCTTGAATTCCACCCCCGCCGCCCTCCAACCCTGGCTCGACGCTCAGCCGTACCGCAACACCATGCGCCAAGCCCAGATGGTCGATCTCGCGCGTGAGTTCAATGCAGGGTTCGAGTATGGTCTCGTGCAGGTACAGCGGACTTTCACCATCTACGCGGATAAAGAGTTTTTCCACGACGTGTGGTATCAATTCCAGGTCTGGCTTCAGGAATACAGACACATTCCCGGCTTCTACGGGCTGCATTGTAACATGCCTGTTACACCTAATGCCGTTCAGGAGGGTGTTCGGAATGGTGGAAATGTTCTTGGGCTGGAGGGTGCCGGGAGCCGAACTTTGTCGAGTATTGCCCCCTCCCATTCTTCTTTTCTCGTACAATTAATACTGATCAATGATAGTCTTGTACTTCGGCTTGACTTTCAACAACCTTTCCGACACGGATAAGGTCTTCCCGGCCTTCGCTAAGTTCGTCGAGTCGATGATCCGCCTCGCTGAGCAGCGCGGTGTCCGCCACCCATACATGTATGCCCCCTTCTCCTCACCATTGCGTTTGCTAATACCCTCCAAAGCATGTGGTCCTATGCCGGCCATGACCAGCGTGTCATCGAAAGCTATGGCCAGGAGAATAACGACTTCCTCCGCCGTGTTAAGCAGGATTATGATCCCGCCGGGACCTTTACCAACTTGGTCTCTGGAGGCTTCAAGCTTCCCGCCCGTGGATATTAGGGTTGGATCTCCGTTGGCGGCCTGTCGGAATAGATTTAGGGTTAGGGTTTCTCTTGTGGGACTTGCGGATTTCTGAGACTTTTCTTCTCCTTCCTTTCCATTCTCGGAGGATTGGCTGGGGACTGGTTAATGGCCCTTCAACAATTTCTCGTTTTTTTTTTCTCTCTTTCTTTCTATCTTTTTTTGGCTGTTTTGGGTTTTTGGGTTTTTGCGGTGGCTCACAGGGCAGATATATTTATCGTCTAAATTAACCATCCCACGTTCACATATGCTTCGCAGTGATTGCAGTCCCTATTTCGGGGTTTAGCCTCTAATTCGGTACGCCGTGGTCATCGCTGACATCGGCGAGTACACTCACCGCTCTCCGTCATGTCACCCCAAGATATCATCATCTCCACTCACCACCGTGAATGCCCAGCCAGTTCCAGCGACACTTGGAGATAAACCGTGGCTAATGGGTGGATGGCATCGCACTATCTAACCTAATTCTCCGGAAACAAACAGTCTGCCCGTCCATTCTACACGGGGTATCACCATCCCAGGAGATATGATGCTTGGAATGACAGGTTTTTTTCTTCTTATATCCACGGTTCATGATTCATAGGCTACGGGTGGGCTGTTATGCAGTGTTCCACAGGGGCCGTCTAGAGTCGGGACTTGACTTGATTTTAATCACTTGATATCACTCGCCAACCCAGCTATACTGCTAACCGTATTGTGAACCTGCCTGGACGGTGCGCTCCAAATATTGAATGCACAAGAGCAAATCTCCAACCCCCGCTGCGAGAACGCGAGTTCTCCACTAATCCCCAATAGCTTGTAGCGGCCAATCGGGGGCTGTACTTTGTATATCTATAAAATGTCTGGCTCACTGCGGCTACTTCAAATTCCACACTAGTATCTAGCCAGGTTCCCAATCGTCATCTCATCTCATACACCCGGCCACTTTTTAGGAGCATAGCAGGATCTATGGTGGGCTCCCCGCTCCTGATTAAGCCACCAAGGGTGTGTATAAATAGCGTTCTTAGGAATGGGGGGGGCGTTTGTTATTAAATTTGCGTTCCCCCCGACCTGCCGGATCCTCTACGGCTCGGACAAGGTATTCTCGAGGATACTTGCCGCCTCCGGTCTCTTTCCCGTCCTTTTCCTTGCCAGTATGAAAATAGGAATAAAAATGATTGGAGGGGGCTCGGGTGGTTTGCCTCCGCGCTGCTAGGTTCGTAAAGGACACCGAGGGTGTGGCCAGGCGAGTGGGCGATGGCCGTGGTGTATGGGGGATCGAGGGGTACTTGCTGTGGGTTTCTTGTTATCCCGTCTATCATGTAAGCATATTATTTTCTTTGTAGCTGCGGCATGGCTTGTTGATCCCGGGTTCTGTAGCGATGTTCCGCGCTCGATTCCATGTGCCGGGGGGTGCCATATTAGCTCATTTGCTGATAAATACCGGGCAGGTTAGCCAGGTCCCCCTTCAATTACCTTGTGAGTTCTCGATTTGCCCCATTTGCCAAGCTTGGGACTCCCGGCCGCCTCACGTAATATCACTCGCTAGGGATGCGAGTTTGCATCGCCGGCGGGGGGGGGAGCCGAACAAGCTTGATATTTTCTACCGCATGGGGTGATGTGGGTTTATATCCCAAACTGGGAAAATAAACCTGAAGGAGAAAGGATGGCGGAAAGCCCAGGTATCGTGAGAACCTCGGGGGAAGGAAGAAAAAAATCTTGAAAATATCTCGGGAGGCGAGAGGGTGTATGAGATCCTCGGAAGGATGGCGGATAGCATTTGACAAGGAAAAGGGCTGTATCTTGGTTGAATACGGTATTGTCGCGGAGTTGTGAGAGAAACGGAGAAGAGATGAGAAATGGTCAAAGAGTGTTGAGATTGAAGGGAGTGATGGGGAGGGGGCTAGGAGAGAAACTGGATGGAGGAGACAGGTCTGTTCGGTGGATTAGCGCTAAATCTAATAGGGGATTATATTTGGATGGGTACGTTCACGTTCACGTACACTACGATACGAACCACGACAAGTACTGCCAGCTCATCGGAGGCTATTATACAGCTAGCTAGAAGGGGAATTGAGGTTCAGTGAATCCGAAATGGACTTGGACAAGCGGAGGGTCCTCGAATATGTATTTTTCCAGACACAAAAGTAGAAGGCTCTCGACTTGGCCCTTTTCAAATACCGGGCACAAATTTACCCATGGTTAGTATAGGGAATGGGGTCACAAATCCCACTTGTCTCTTTCCCTCGTGGCGCGCTCCTGCGTACTGTCTTCCTCACGGACTACCAAGTCTTTCACAAGCCTTTTCTAGAACTGTCCCGCGAGCCGATGCTAACTATCTAAATTCCGCTAACTAATGTGGACGAAAACTCGCTTTCCATACCTATCCCGCCTTTCTCTTTTTCCGTGCGTTGCTGCATGAGGGCTTGCGCTTCGGATAAGCGAGTTCACTTGCAATTGACGCGGTGGCCGATCCGGTGTAAAAAAAATGTGTGGAGCGCCAAAATTAACAATGGGGTTCACTCCCAAAGGGTAGATTGGATCTCCCAGATCAGCGGATTTCGCAAATCTTGGCACTTTCCGGACCGGTCAAGGTACCCCTAGCAATCCTGTTGATGGCACGGTAGAGCACGCCGCGCGAGTCGAGGTAGGGGAAAGGTCACAGTTAGAGCATTCTCGTTATTTAGGGGAGGGGGTGGAAATGTGATTCTTTGTACGTGATTTCATCCACAGCGCGGAGGTCAAAATATATGGAGGAAGTGGGCGTTTTCCAATATTGTATAGTACCTTTTCCCTTCTGATTTACAGGTGCGGTGATAGTCGGTACGGCAGCGCAACAAACCGGGCAACTCTAATTCTACTCTTGATTCTGGAGGGCGGAGAGGTGTACTGCTCTGGGGTGACCGGAAAATAGTGCAGCTGTAAATTGTGAGGAATAGCTCTGGACCCGGCAGTACGCGAGGTAGGTGTACTCCGAATCTTCGCTCTCTTGCTCGTCGCCAATCATTTTATAAATTAAGTGTGGAGATCGGAGTTTATGGAAAGTAAAGTGAGGGCCTTCTGATCCGACCGGGAGCCACGACACATCTCTCACACCCCGCCATGTCCCCACCATTCTTCCGCATGCTCCCGTGGCGAGGGAGGGGGGACATGACAAACAAACTTCTCCACGGGGAACACTAAAACTCTGGGATGATCCATTGCACTCCAGAATTATCCACTCTGATTCTGTCACTATTGGAATCACCTACAACATACTATCTTTCCCGTAGAGAACTCATAGGTGCTACCCGCAATGCTACCCGTCGCTCGCGCTGGGTGGTCATCCTGAGTTCGCACAGTAATACCCCCGGGGACACTGGGGGGGAAACAGGCCGGCTGTGATGAGATTTGAGTTGGGAAATCTTGGGAGGCGCACCGCTTGGGTTTGGGTGAGATACTGCTAATTTCATTCGCAGGGGGGAGGTCTGAATGGCTATCAGGTGACTCGCAAATAGCGGGGCGGTATAATGGGAGGAATAGTATAGCTCTGTACTTTCCATAGATCCCCACCCATATCTCTCGTCCTCCGTCCCTATCCCTATTCTTTCGTACGCTTTTGAGCCGCTCAGATAATCCATAGCATTCCCAAATGACAGGGGGTCCCTACCCTGCGAACTTTTGGATATATCCTTGAGTGTCAACTTGCAATTAGACGGGCTTCCACCAACTCTATCCAATAGCACCCTGTCACCGTCACCGTTACCCCCCCCCCCACGCTCATACTACCGGAAGAGAATGGTGAATTTTTTCCACGGGGGTCAAATTATTGTGGCGATGATTGGAATTGTATCACATTTTTTTTCCGGAGGACTAGATTGCTCCTGGCCGTCGTCTGTAGTCACCACCCACTGACTGTCCTCTACCGCCGCCTTTCCCTCACCGCCCCCAACTTTCCCGAAGGGCCCCATATATCAACTTATCATGCATTATAGGGCCTGTCGTTTCTCCTAATCGTGCCTGTACTGTGATTTCCTAGCGGAGAATAGGTCACATCTTATAGTCCCGTATCCGGTTAGTCTATTGAGAGCGCACCTTCTTACAGCAACTTAGCGAACCGATGAGGAGGCGAATTTTAGAGCGGGAATCTGGCAGTCTCGCATGAGACACTATGGCGATCGGCGGAAGACTGTTTGACTATAAGGTGGGGATATGGCCCCTGGAAGTTCGCACGGGGTGATAATACCTCGGGACCCCAGACTATTAAAAGTGATATAGTGGCTTCTGGGGTAAGGCTGGGACTACGGGCGGTGCCAAAGCACGTCCGGGGACAGTGTGATAATGTGTGCCCTATGTGAGGGCAAAGTCCCTCGATTTTCTGTCTTATGGGCAGAGGTAGGTTTGTATCCCGAACCGAGCAAGGGGAAGAGAAGGGTAAGAGAACGCTGAGTCCGGGACCATACCAAACCCCGGGAATGAAAGTTTGAAAGTAGTGACTCGTCTGTATGGCGGGGATATTCCGAGCCCTGCCGGCGATGAGTGACGTTGCATGATTCTGGCTCAATGTCGTTGCAGAAGACTAAGCAAGCAAGTGTGATGAATGGTATGATGCCTTTTTCTCCCTTTGTTGATCACCGTTGTAGATAAACCGGGTCGCATCCCCGGAGTCCGAACCTGTGGGTGTGCCACCTGTCCTGCAATATAAACGGTGGGCATCTGTTTGTATTCTCAATCGATGACATCTTGGGGAACGTTCCACAATCTAAAGATTCTTGATGGGGCAGTAGTAATACCCCAAGCGCTATATCTCCGCCCGTGATGGGCAGTGCCCAAGGGGTCGGTAAAGAAACAAACCGAGATCTAGCAAGGCAGCCTCTTACTCGGGAATATATTGCTATCGTTTTCCACAAATAGAGGGATTTATCCGATTGCTTGGACGCTCTAGCAGGCCAAGACGAATATGGTGAAGTATGGTTAAGGAGAAGCGAGATATGGGGGGGCCAAGTCAAGTGGGTTTGCTTTCAAAGTACGCATTCCGAACGATGGGTAAATGGGATGGGGTGTGTGCCAAATTGAGAGGGGTAGCTCAGGATAGTAGTGAAATGATCGCACCGCGGTAGACGGGAGCTAATTGTCAGACCTTCCCCCACTGTACGGGAAGCTCAGCATCACAGTCCGTCTAGCCTGTCACTAGTTAGACGTGGTGTGTGTGGACGCCCCGAAAAAGACGGATCGGGGCGCATAGTCGGTGCCGCCGTACCTTGCGAAACTGGCGGAGTAGGCCGTTAGGGACGCAGGAGTCGGCTGCTAATCTAAGCGCTCCTGCACCTAAATACATTTTATTCTACAACTCCCGTTCCTCACCCTGACTGCTTTGCCAGCCCTGCCGGAGCACATTCATAGGTTCCGGAAATTGCTGCTTGTAAATGCGAAGTTCCTGTTTGATAAGTGATAGAAGTTGCGGACAATTTCTGCACCGTCCTAGAAATTTTAGTGGTTTATCTAATATTCTAACAGCTTTATACATCGTAACACATAAAATATGATCGCAAGGTTCCCCGGGAACCTCACTTCACCTCACTTCACCTCATTCCTCCGAGGATGCGTCAGCTAGTCGCACGCGATTATCGTAGAATACGTCTCACTAACTCCGCCGTTTCACTAGCCCCCTACCGCCGCTTGCTATACGCCGGTGTAGACCCAGGAACCATCTCAGGCGGTCGCGGGGCGATAGCCGGTGATTTACAACAGTAGCAACCTCTTCTGCTTCCGCTTGGCTAATCCCTCCGGTATCGCTTTTCATCTCTCGTAACGCCATTAACCTTTGGATGCATTCCGAGGTAGTAGGATGTTTTTCACCGAGGGTTTTAGAGAACCCCTTGCAGGCCCGCTCATAATATCCTTCGGCTTGAGAATGTTGTCCCTGTTTTTCGTGCAGGGAAGCAAGGCCCGCAAGGGCTTCACAGACCTTAGGGTGCTCCGAACCGAGTTCGTTTTTCAGATCGCCTAGTGCACCTCGAAGTAATTCTTCTGCCTCGCTATACTTTCCCTGGTCTTCAAGTGAGAGGACTAAGTCCTCGACAGTGCACAGGACTCTAGGGTGCGTTTTGCCCAAGGCCTTCTTGTTACCTTCTAGGACACGCCAGAACAATGTCTGAGATTCTGTGTACCTAGCCCTCTTCTGCAGCAGTACAGCCAAGGTGTTGACAGCTATCAATGTCTTCGGGTGATCTGATCCTAACGCTTTCTCGTATCCATCCACTGCGCGTTTGTTGAGCAACTCAGATTCGTCGTACCTTCCCCGGCACCGCAGCGTCACAGCTAGGTTGTTGGCAGCCATCAGAGCATTAGGGTGGTCTGGCCCAAGAATCTTCTGAAAACCCTCCAAGGCACGTCGGCTCATGATCTCTGACTCTTCACACTTCCCTTGGCACTGCAACACAGTAGCTAGGTTGTTGGCAGCCATCAGGGTGTCGTGGTGGTCTGATCCGAAAATATTCTGGTATCCCGTCAATGCACGCCGATTCATCTCTTCTGATTCCACGTGCTTTTCTTGGACTTCCAACGTTGTAGCTAGGTTGCCGACGGCCGCCAAGGTATGGTAATGGCTTGGCCCAAAAATCTTCTCGCACCCCACCAATGTGTACCGATTCATCTCCTCTGATTCTTTGAACCTCCCTTGCTCCCGCAGAACTACAGCTAGGTTTCCGGCGGCCCATAAAGTGTCAGGGTTGTCGGGCCCAAAAGACGTCTTGTACCCCTCAAACGCGCGTCGATTTATCGCCTCCGATTCATCGTACTTCCCTTGTCCCAGCAGCACTACGGCTAGACCATTGAGTGCCATTAATGTGTTAGGGTGATCCGACCCAAATGACTTCTCGTATCCCTCCACTGCACGCCGATTCAACGCCTCTGATTCCTCGTACCTCCCCTGGACTCGGAGGACCGTAGCTAGGTTGTGAGTAGCGATCAAAGTGTTAGGGTGTTCTGGACCAAAAGCTTTCCCGTATCCCTCCAATGCGAGCCGATTCATCTCTTCCGATTCCTTGTACCTCCCTTGGCCCCTCAGCACTGTAGCTAGGTTGCATAAAACCATCAGAGTGTAAGGATGTTCCGACCCGAAAGGCTTCTCACATGCCACCAATGCCCGGCGATTCATTGCCTCAGATTCCTCGAACCTCGCTTGGCCCCATAGCACAGTAGCTAGGTTTCCGATGGCTAGTAGGGTGCGGGGATGGTTCGGTGGCAAGGACTCTTCCAAATCCTTTAATACCGTGCGAAATATCTCCTCTGCCTCCTCAGACTTTCCTTGACGCTTGCTTAGCACCCCCGAGAGCATAAGTCTGGAGTACAATGCACCCTTCCAGTCGCGCTCCTTGTCTGCCTCTCGAAGCTCAATACACCGGCGGACTTGTAACTTTGCATTGTTGTAAGAACCCATTTCCATAAAATGCTCCCCCATACGATAAGCCAGGTCTTCGGCTACTGGATCTGCTGAATCTTTCGTTACTGCTAGTGCATGAGACATGTATGCACCGCAGATGTACCGCCGTTTGTAGACATATGGGGGGAATAATCGTGAAATGGCTCCTAGCGCGGCAGACCTCGATCGATTTGCCTGTTCCACGGGAAGATACACCTGTATAGACAATTGAACCAAACGATGAAGCTCGTAAAACGATACGCCCTCGTGTTTAACCTCAGTAAGCAAGGAGAACCTCAACAGGTTTCCGATAGCTTGGCGGAATTCAAGCGGATCATCCATCCCATCCAGACCGGAATCGGTCAGTAGCTGCTCAGGGATGTTTTGGCGATCGAAGAAGGCAACTAGCCACAGAAGTCCTGCCGCCGAGGGCATCTGTTTTGTGATTTGGTCAAAGGTGGTAAAGTAGGTACCTAGAACACTCTCGGTCCCATTAACTTCGCGTTGGATGTCGCAAAACTGCTTTGAAAGCAGTGCTTTTGCGCGATTCTCGTTCTCCTGGAAAATAGTCCAGTAGACGGAGGGTGATGTCACATTCTCGGTCATGAAAGCTGCCGAGCCCACGATAGCCAGAGGCAGGTGGCTCACAGAGTCCAGGATCATATCAACAGCCCTCTTCTCTTCAGCTTCCAAACTGCCCCAGCTACTAAAGCGCTTCGAGAACAACTCTTGGGCTTCTCCGGCCGCCATTTCGCCAACCTCGAAAATCTTACATCCCTGTCGAATTGCGACCCGCCGAGATCTGGTGGTGAATATCAAAGTCCCTCTACGCCCTTGCGGCACAAACTTGGCAATAGCGCTGGTGTTGCCGTTGAAGTTTTCCTCGTTGTCGGCGTTGTCAATTACTAGGATCCAGTCCCCGCTATCCGGACCTTCAAACCACTTCCTTATACCCCGTAGATATGCCTCTTCGTCAATCTCAGCGCTCGGTAATGGAATCCGAGCATGCTGTGCAACAGCCTTAAAGCCCTCACAAAATATTGATACCCCACTTCCTTGCACCCAGAAAACGCCGTCGCTCTCGTTGGCGCACTGGTGAACGTATTCGAGGGCGAGCTGAGTTTTCCTATGCAACATTAGTAACGCATTTATATGACGAAAAAATGAACACACACCCACAGCCGCCTAATCCATAGAGGGCGATTCGGCTATGTTCCCTACTTTTGGAAAACTCTTTCATGGACTCAAGGATACCTTTGCGGCCGGTAAAATCCGCATTCCTGCCGTAGGGAACTATCCAGTAAGGTCTGGATAATGGCCTCTGTCCTAACAGCACATTAGACCTTTCGGAAAACATTTGGGAGGGGTCAATACCTCCATCTCTAGCTTTCAACCCCCACCCGTCAGCTGCTCCTTCGGTATTGGTCATACTACACACAGGGGTCTGCATGCTCAAGATAAAATTGGAATTTCCAAAGATGTTATGGCTACCCGTATTCCCGTTGAGATTTCCATTGATATTGGATTGTACTTGTTTAATTTTGCTAATATTGTTAGAATGACAAAGTAGAAGGGTAGGGATACCTACTGAATCAAGCCCTCCTCATCGCTTCCCGCTGCTAGGGAAGTCATTTATTCAGGGCTGAGTAGGATGGTAACTGGCTTGTTCGAAAGTGAAGCAATGAGCTCCTTCTCTCTGATAGCAACACGGTTGAGAGCCACCCTGATGCAAGGCTAGCAGTAAGTAGAGCAATAGTGCGGGTATAATCGAACGAGGGGATATTGTGGCGGTCGAAGTCGATGGTTCTCTCGCTTCGGCTCTGTTGTGGTGCGAAATCGTGGCAGGCCCTCCCCGAGTAAGAGAAAGTTAAGTACAAGTACCGGTTTGCCCAGAACAGCGGAGATAATAACCCTTTTCCTTGCGGTGTCGGTACTAGTAAGTTTGGGCGTAATTGCTTCAGCCTCGGCGGCTATCTGACCGGAGCGACGATGTACCCGTACCCGAGCGTCACGGCAGAGCCGCGCATCTGGGAGGAGCCCCGGTGGGTGAGCATAAGTGAGGCGAAGTTGGTACTTGACCGGATTTTAACCGACCAAGGTTTGGTGAGTGTAACCATGGAAAAGGCCAATCTCGGCCGTTCTTTTAAAGGGGGGGGGGAAAGTGTGGTGAACTCAAAATGTCTGATACGCGTATGATACGAACTCCAAAACTTCCCGCTCTCTCGTTGGCCAAGTGACCCAGGAACCAGTCAGAACCGCTTCGCCTAATTGCCCTTAACCCCCGGTATCGTACCTTACCGCCCATATGTCATAATGAATTCGGTACGAGAATTTACATTAGGAGTGGTGAGCTGAATCGTGCGCATCGCCGTAAGCGAACCATCTTAGGGGTCCTTAGAGCTCAAAGAGCTGAGAACACTGAAATGCTTTCTGGCTCGCTTCACCATCGCACGTAAACTTGACGTCCACAAAACTGTAGCTAGCCCTCACTCCACCGTAGGGTGGTTCGAATTTAGCTTTCTATCACTTTACCTTGCTTGAGTAAACTACTCTACGATACTCTGCTTTTCACGCTGGGGGGGCGGTCGACAGGCGCCTATCGAGGACAATAATTACCGAGTTCATGCTAAGCACACTTTCTCTCAGGCGGGTTTGTAATAGTACGAGTACAGTACAGTAAGTTACCATCGGTGTTGTGTGTATTCGCTTTGGAACCCGGAGCTTAGACTACCGTAGTCTAACTCCTGGAGCTTCCATCACTCGCAAGGAATACTTTGCTGGTCATAAAGCACTCGAGTATTCGGACACTTGGCACCCAGACAGGTGCTAAAAACGCCAAGGCGTCCGAATACTTTACAAATGGCCAAGTACTTGAGTCGACACTAGCCCGAGGGCCGCATGAATAATAATAGACCCGAAGAATATTATCTTCAATACAGCCAGATGCTACCAAGTTAATAGCCGGTTCCCCTCCTATTTCGCTCCGCTCATAGTCGGGAAAACCAAGTGTGACGCAAAAGCAAGTGCAACGCTACACAAACTTTTTTTATTATTTTTACACTTTTTAGGTTTTCAGATGTTCAGATCAATGTACATAATATAGGTTATTAACAACCCATTTTTTGTTCACCACCATAGAGTCCAACTTCATTCAACTGTGACAACATACCGAAGATATCGAACTCTGAGCATCAATGACTTCCACGATTGATACAATGCCCCTGAAAGAACGACTAGACCTAGCACTGAAATGGCTAGCTGAACAGCCGACTGAGACTGCAAGTACAGGTGCAAAACGTTTTAACGTACAACCTTCCTCAAACCGAACACCCCAGCTACGCCAGCACAAGCAAGTTCGAAATTCTCGTAGAATATTCAACAAGCATGGAGGTAATAATTTCATTCTAACAGAGGCACAAGAGCTGGCTGTTTACCGTTACTACTATGGGCAGTGGGAGGCCGGTATTGGTGCCACATCATCAGCAATCTATGCTGCAATTTGTCACCTATGTCAGGCTGAAAAGTTAAATCCACCATCCCGAGTATAGTTTCAGCAATGGCTGAAGAAAAATACTAGCCTTCATACTATCAAAACGAAACCAATTGCACGAGCTCAAATCATGACACATACTAAAAACAACTTGAAATCCTTTTTCAAGACCTATCAAAATATACTCACTGAGTATGGTATCGACAAGGTAAAATACATCTATAATATGGATGAATCTGGAGTCAGGGTTGGATGTCCTAGAGGAGAGATGGTGATTGTTCCAACTAAAGTCAAGGAGCTGTATACTTCAAGTCCTGAAAACCGCAAGCTGATTACAATCATTGAAGCAATCTGTGCTAATGGATGCCCACCTCCACCTCCAGTTGTCACATGTCCTGGAGAAAAGATCATGGAAAATTAGATCCATGAAAACTTAAGTGGTGCAGAGGTGATTGCAGTTTCACCTACTGGATATACCAATGAGAATATTGCTTTATCCTGGTTAGAACATTTTATTAAGCATATTGGTGCAGGACAAGACAGTCATTGGCACATGCTTCTCCTAGATGGACACATTACACATCGTAAGGAAGACTTTACCATTTGCTGCCATGAGAACCATATTATTCTCTTTGAGTTTCTCTCACATCTGACCCATGTATTGCAACCACTAGATATTGGTGTTTTTCACCCATGGAAACATTATCATAACCAAGCAATCAACCGTGCTCCTCACTCCCTTGAAATTGAATACACTATTTCCTTATTTTTTCATGACTTGGACTCTATACGGAAACAAACCTTCTAACAATATACAATTAGAAATGCCTTTAAGGATTCAGGAATGTTTCCCGTTTCTTATAAGTGTGCATTAAAAAAATTACACCAGTATACCAGCAAGGTGGCTCAAGGAGGGGAGAAATCTGAAGGTGGCAGTGGGAGCTCTGAAGCTGGGAGTAGTCTGATTGGTGTCGGTATAGAAGGTATTGCTGGAGGTCAACAGCCAGCAATACTTTCCAGTGCGTATTTTGAATGCCAAAAGGGTATGGCCGAGTGGGTAGACCATGTAGAAACCTTTAGTCCTACTTCGAAAAAGAGATTTCAGCAATGGGCAAAAGAGACTGAGGTTTGTCTTGCCAAGGCACAACTTGAAGAGGAATCATACTGCTCAATTCAAAACCGAATTCAGGAGGAGGAAGTACAGAAAACCAGATCTCATCGGGTTATTCAGAAGGGTGGAGTGATATCAGTAGAGATGGCCCGCCTTAAGAAGGCAGAAAAAGTGGAGAAAGAAAAGGTAACTGCAATCAAAAAGGCACAAAAGAAGATTCAGGTTGCTGTCAACAAGGCAAAAGCGGCATTAAACCAGCGTGGCATCCAAGCACGAAAGGCTGAAAAGGAGAGAAAGAAGGAAATTTGCAATATTCAGGCCTGGGGTGAAATTGTCCCTGCTCATTTGTTGATTGAAATTTCAGACCCAGAAAAGAATCCTACCAAGCAAGATCTTGAGTTACTCCAACCACCACCAGACCTTCTACAGGCCTTATTATTGCTTGAATCAGACATGAGTCCTGCAGCAGGTAAGTTTTATTCAGAAATATCAAAGCCTTGCATTTAATTTAGTGAATTAGGACAACATACTCTAGGATCAGGGGATCAGGATACCAGCGGACAGGATGTTAGTGGAGATAATTGTGCCAGTGAGGAGATGGGTTTCGAATCAGAGTCGGAATCTTCCTATATGTCAGAGGATTCTATAGCAGGAAATGCTGATTTTGTTAGGTTGAATGAAGTTGGTGGTGAATAAAAAATGGGTTGTTAATAACCTATATTATGTACATTGATCTGAATATCTGAAAACCTAAAAAGTGTAAAAAAAAAAAAAAAATTGTGTAGCGTCACACTTGCTTTTGCGTCACACTTGGTTTTCCCGACTATGAGCCGAGTGAAATAGGAGGGGAACCGGCTATTATAGCCTTAGGCTTCCTTGGTATGTACAAGGGCAGGAACCTATTAACCGCACAGACAGTATATTTAGCTGGTTACCCCCATAACTGTTCCATAACTTCTTTCCCGACCTTGTACTCGAGTCCAGTACCCTCGACTGTTTCGGACAGAATGCCCAAGGGATAATACCCGTAGTGGTTCTCCCCAAGATCGCTTAGGGTGAGTTTGGATACGACCTTTCCATTCGGTTCGTCCATACAAACGACCTTTAAGTTACCTTCCGTTTCGAAACGGCAGGGATCGAACGGGTATTTGGTATTGTAGCTATGCTGAGGCAACCGTTACGAACGGCTCCGTTCCCGCCAAACAGAGCCCTAGCTCTTGATCCTGGCTGTTTGCGAGATTTTCGATGCTCCCGATAGCAGTTAAAACCTTCGGTGAAAACTCGGTCATCGCGAACTTGCCTGGGCTAGGAGGATTCGAAGCTGTATCAGCCCGTTTTAGAATCACAACACACTTGTAACGGAGCCCATAAAGGGGTTTAAACCAGCGACGCCGAACGGGGGCGTTTATGGCGGCCCTTCGAAAATATACTCGGAGCAAGAGATTGTACGAGTACTAGTACTAGTACAGTACTTGGTTACCCCCGAGTACATAATTGAGCAAGAACCTTGGCATGGTAATGCCGTGGCGCGAAGCAACACCGAGTCTCCACATTCCGGAAGGCATCTACAGTGGGGTTTTCCATTGGCTAGCACGGTTTAAAAGCGGTCTCTTGAATGTGGCACCGGAAGTGATTGGGTAAGGAGTGAGCGCAGGATTGGTGGATTTAAGCGAGCTGCGAGCGAGACGAAAAATTTCCC